TGATTGGTTTCTATGAGACAATCCCCCCGCCCCACTTCATTCTTCTAAACTTCAGAAAATATAATCCTAACCAATGTAATCTTTCCTCATACGTTAGTCCTCCCATTCACAGGAATCAATTTTGTAGACCTTTGCTGTACTCTATCTACAGTAGGAACATCCTTCCTCAGATAAGAAGACCAAAACTACGCACAATATTCCAGGTACGGCCTCGCCAGGTCCTGTATAATTGCAGCAAGACATCCCTGTTTCTGACATTGAACCCTCTCGTTATGAAGGCCAACATACAGTTTGCCTTCCTACTGCCTGCTACATCTGAGTGTTTACCATCAGCAATCAGTGCATGAGGACACCCAGGCCTCATTGAACATACCCCTCTCTCAATTTACAGCCATTCAAATAATAATCTACCCTCCTATTTTTGCTACCAAAGTGGATAACCTCACATTTATCAACATTGTACTGCATCTGCCATTGCATTTGCCCGTTCACTCAACCTGTCCAACTCGCACTGCAAAACCTCTACATCCTCCTCATAGGTCAGCCTTCCACGCAGTTTTGTGTCATCTACAAATTTGGAGATATGATACACAGTTTTCTCATTTAAATCAGTAACACATATTGTGAATAGCTGGGGTCTTAGTACCAATCCCTGTGGTATCCCCCTAGTCACTATCTGCATTTCACCAAAAGACGCATTGACTCTTTGTTTCCTGTCTGGTAATCAAACTTTTTTTTTATCTATCTCAATATACTAGCCCAAATTTCATGCACTTTAGTTTTACACCTGTGGGACTTCTGTGGCATTCAATGTTGCTGAGACTAACTTCCTCAACACCTTCTTTATCCTTACCCCTGAATCTAGGGGTCTGAGCTGAGGACTTTGATGGTGTAGCCTTCAGAAGAATGCTGGTGACCATCTGGTTGTATAGGAAGGGAAAGGCTCGAAAGTGGAATTCAGCATTATCAAGTTAGCCATGATCTTATTAAATGGCAGAACAAACTCGATGGGCTGAATGGCTTACTTCAGCTCCTGAGTTTTATATTGTTACATATAACAGGAAACTTCATATTGGGAGGATGGCTCACTGAGGAGCCTCGTGTCACTGTCAAGGAGAATGGAGGAGTCCAAGTCCGAGCTGGTATGGGGTTTTGAATAGAAGTTGGAACATCTCATTTTGAGTGAGGAATTAATGCTTCACTCAAAACTACGGTCACAGACAGAACTGTTACATGATGTCTTGAGTCCACCTTCTCAAATTCCACAAAGGGGAGCCAGTGAACTTCCGGGTGCTGCAGTGAAATGTTCAGATGGTGGTCATGAGATCCATGATGGCTGCCAGCAGGCACAACTGGTACCACCTAGGGTGCAATCTCAGCATTCTCTGTGATGTATAGGCACTCACAGTCATCCAGCAATCTTTCTTGCAGCTTTGTGCTACTTCAAGAGTACCCTCATCAATACCCTCATCATGAGAAGCCTCATCCTGTTGTGGGAGCTGGGTTGAGTTAATGGAGGCAACACAGTTTAGTTATCATTGCAAAGCTAAACAGAGTCACCTCGGGGTCTGCTCCTGGATGTGGGCATATTATGTGCTGTTGGAAAATGCTTGATAGGACCTTCAATGGAATGCCTTTGCTCTTCTTCTCCTTTGCCTCACTGTTTGAGTGGTTTCCTACTGAATTTTCTGCTCTATATCCTGCTCATGTCGCCAATCTAAAGACACTGACCACAGGTCCCATATCTGGGTCACATGTATCTCTGTCTCCCCTGACAGTGAACACCGGCTCTTTAAAAAAACAATTTCAAACACAAAACACACAGTTTCCACAAACTTGGCTGAAGCAATCAAAAACAAAGAAGTACGGATGCTGGAAATTTGAAACACAAACAGAAAGTGCTGGAGAAACTCAGCAGGTGTGCAGCTTCTGTAGTGAGAGAGGCAGAGATATTTTGAGTCCAGAGATCCTTTGTCATAACTTAATGGTTCTGATGAAGGATCATTGAGGTCTCAACATTATCTCTGCTTCTTCTCTCTCTACAGATGCTGTCAGATCTGCTGAGTTTCTCCATCACTTTTTATGTTTGTGTTGGCTTGGCAAACATTACTCATAAACACCTCACCTACTACTTGTTGACAGATAAATTGGGGTAATGTCCACCTTGCAGCTGAACACTTGGGGCAGGATTTTCTTCCAGGTTTTGGCTCCCTACATCCTTGGGACCAAATGGAAGTTTTGAGCTCTCGCATTCCAGAAACGAGACTGGGTCTCCTCTTTGTCCAGCTCTTTGTTCTAGTCCTTGGATAGAGGAAGGAAATACTGTCTTGAGACACAAAATTTCTATGACTTCCCACAGCTGTCAATACACAGCCAACGGAGAGATATCACTCCTGTTGTCTGAAATTTAAGGATCCATAGCAACCTTGACAGTGACAAGCTTCATATATATCAGACAGCTTCAGATTGCCTCAAATAATTCCTAGCATGGAACTAAAGGACACTCAATGGTTAACAATCTGCAAATAAATGGCAGTTCCAGTTGATAGACTGGCAAATGGCTCCTATTTTTTAAAATGTTTAATAATAATGTCCTGAACCAAAAAGCAGGGGAAAATGCCAAATTTATATTCTACATTGTTTTTGCAGAACAATAGCTACAATCTTCCTCCCTTCCCCCCGCCATGAGAAAAAATATGTCTCAATTTATTTACAGTTGGGACATGGAAGGTTCTGGCTCTGGCAACTGCAAGATCTAACCTGCAGTGCACTGGAATAATATTTGAGTTTGTTGGCCGCTTTCCACTTCAGGACTATGTATAAACAATGAATCTACCACCTTTGTGACCACTACCAAACACTCAAAGACAGGAGAGGAAGTGTAGTTCTTTAGAAGCCCATTTTCTAGTGCTAGCCAATACATGCTGTCTAATATTAGATCAAGGAAGGACTTGCATTTAGAAAGCACTTTACAGGCAAGGAAGTACTTGTTAAATTATTTTGTTGTTGTGTAGAAAATGAAGCAACCAATGTGATATGACTAGAAAACCTGTTTTTTGTGATGTTTTGTGGGGTAAATATTGGGCAGGGAACGAAAGGCAACCATTTCAAGGAAGATTAACATACTGGAATCAAATTTTTAATCAAACAGATACTGCCTGATCTGCTAAATTATTACAGTATTTTCTGTTTTTATTTTACACTAGGGATAGCTCTCCTGCTTTTCACTGAAATAGGGACCTGGGGTCGATTGCATCCACTGAACAGGCAGCTGGGTTCCTGATTTAAACTCTTGGCTAAAAGATGATACCGCCAACAGTTCAATGCTCCCTCAAGGGAACATTCAGGATTCACAAGTGTCAGTCTTGATATTTGTGCTCATACCTTGGAGTAGGACTTGAATGCAAATCCTTATGATTCAGTGGCTGGCATTGATGTATTATTGTTGGTAATAGACAGATTAAACAATTCATTTCTGCTGCTTTACCTGATTTTCATGTTATTTCAAAACTTTACTAATCAGATAAGAAGATTGTTATTACTCAATTTACATTATAATTTTTTTTATTATAAAAGAAGTGAATTCCAGATGAGGTGAAGGGACTGCCCTTGATAGAAATGCTGACATGGAATCAAGGATCCCCATCATTACTAGAGTCAATGAGAACCAGCGGGGAAAACTCCCTGCTGCTAAGAGTCATGCTCAGCACAAGGAAGATGATTGTGATTGTTGGATGTCAGTCATTTCAGCTCCAGAATATCACTGCAGGAGTTCCTCAAGTGCAACCATCTCCAGCTGCTTCATTAAGGATCTTCCATCCATCATAAGATCAGGGGATGATGGCTGATGATTGCACAATGTTCAGCACCATTCGTGACTCCTGAGATACTCCAGCATTCGTGTCCAAATGCAACAAGACCTGGCCAGGCTTGGGCTGTAATATGGCATGTAACAATCATGCATACAAATGCCAGGCAATGACTATGTTCAACAAAACAGAATATAATCACTGCCATTTGAAATTCAATGCCATTAAGATCACTAAATTCCTCAATAAGTACTTTGACTACAAGAGCAGGCCAGCAAGTTGGAATCCTGCAGTGATTAACTCCCCAAACTCTGTCTGATATCTACCAGGCACAAGTCAAGAGTGTGATGGAATACTCCTCTCTTGCCAGGATAAGTGCAGCTCCAACAACACTCCAGAATCTTGTCACCATCTGGGACAACACTACACACTTCATTAACACCACATCCTTAAACATTCATTCCCTTCACCACTAATGCACAGAAGCAGCAGCAGTGTGTGCCATGTATAAGATGCACTGCAACAATTCATCTTAGAAGCATCTTCTAAAGTTATAACCACTACCTTGAAAAGGACAGCAGATACATTGGGAGGGCTGCCACCTGTAAATTCGACTCCAAGCCACACACACCACCTTGACATGGAAATATTTTGCCTTTCTTTCACTGTTGCTGGGTCAAAATCCTGGATGTCCATCCACGTTAGCATTGTGGATGGGCCTACACTATTGGACTGTAGCAGTTCAAGACGGTAGCTTATCACCATTTTCTCAAGGTCAGTTAGGAATAGGCAATAAATTCTTGCCCAGCCAGCAATGCCCACATCCCATGAATTAATTTATTTTTAAAAATTCATTACTTTATTCCAGATTGGTTCTGTGACTATCAATTGTTGTATGAATAGATTGCAAAAGAATTTCTGACGTGCAGATTATTCTAACAGATGTAACACACAAAAGAAAGATATTTGAGAGATGATCCTGATGTGCTCAAAACCATATTAATACTTACATTAGCTTTCTAACAAGCATATGACACCAGTTGGATTCTAAAATTATTTATAAACTTTACTTTTTATTCTTGGAATCGTTGATCATAAAGAGATAATGCATTGCTTTTAATGCTCGGATATTTTATTTATTACTACAGGTACTTATATTTTAAAACAATTTGTAAACATATTAATTTATAGAAAACATTCTGTGACGGACCATGTCAATAATTGGGCTGCAGTGTGTTGGTCTGGTGACGTTCTCAATGGGGTGCTTGTTGGCTGTTATACAAGCAATGACTCCTTGTGAAATCCTCAATGAGGTAAGTGACATTGGAATTCTCTGCCTTTTTAAGTGTTTAAATGGTATACACCAAATAATGAAGGATATTTTTAGGACAATTAATGTATAATTCATATTTTCCATATGGGCCCTTCTAACAGCACATGGCTAGCACAATTATGGTCAGAATGGTCAGAACACAATGTCAAAATTGTAGTTACTCATCTAGACAGTATGGCTTTGAAAAATTATATTTTATGTGTAATAGTGAAGGGGATAATCATTTTCATTTTAGTCTTTATATTATTTCCTCTCCTTTTCTCTGCCCAGATTTCCCTTCACTTACACCATTCAGCAGCAGTGAAGACAGAATGTCCTACTCTCAAATCCTTCCTAACATTGTTCATGAGTTGGGAGCATAGGAGCAAGAGTAGACCATTTTTCACCTTTTGGCCTGCTGTGCCATTGTAGATCATGGTTGATCCTTTCCCTCAATGTCATATTCCCATGCTATCCCCATATCCTTTGATGTCATTAGTAACTAAAAATCTATCAATATGTCTTGAACTTACTCAACAACTGAGCTTCTACAGTCCTTTGGTAGAGAGAATTCCAAAGGTTCAATACCCTCTGAGTAAAGAAATTCCTCCCTATCTCAGACCTAAATAGATTGCCTTTTATCCTGACACTGTGTCCCCTGGTTCTAGACTCCACTGCCAATGGAAACATCCACTCTGCATCTACTCTCTATATTCCTTTAAAAATTTAGTAAGTTTCTATGAAATTACCTCTCATTCTTCTGAACTCCGGAGAACGCACACCTAATCAATTCAATCGTTACTCATTGGTCAGTTCCACAATCCCAGGAATCAGTCTGTTAAAGCTTCCATTCACTAGGCAAGGGCACACAATACCCAAGTGCAGTCTCATCAGTATTCTGTACAACTGAAGCAAGAGGTCTTCTCTCCTGTACTTAAATCCTTTGGTATTTGCTGTCTAAATTACCTCCCACACCTTATTCTAGCTTTCAGTGACTTAATAAGTATGACATCTTTGGACATCCACATTTTCCAATCTCTCACCATTTAAGAAATAATCTGTAACTGTGTTCATCCTACCAAAGTGGACAACCTTGCACATATCCACATTTTATTCCAACTGCTATGCTTTTGCACACTCACTCAGCTTGTCTAAATTCCCCTTGAAGCATCTTTGCATACACCTCTCAAATCAGATTCTCAATATGTGTTGTATTGTCTGCAAACATGGAAACATTTTTAAAACTTAAAACTTGGAATGTTGGCCTTTATTTCAAAAGCATTACAGCGTTAAAGTAGGGCAAAATATTGAACTATTCAATTATATTCTATGTTCCATTATCTGCCGAAACTATACAAGGCAGTAGTCAGACCACGGCTGAATACTGTGAACAGTTTTGGGCCCCTTAACTAAGGAAATATATTCTGGCAGTGGAAGCAGTCCACAGAAGGTTCGTTGTGTTGATCCTGGGTGTGGAGGGACTGTCTTATGAGGAAAGGTTGAGTATATTGGACCTGTAGTCATTGCAACTTTGAAAAATGAGAAGCAACCTTATTGAAACATATAAGATTCTTAGGGGATTTGTTGGATAGATGCAAAGAAGCTGTTTCCCCTTGTGGGACCATCCAGGACCAGAGGGCATAATCTCAGAAGAAGAGGTTGCACACTTAAGACACAAATAAAGAGGAATTTCTTCTCTGAGGGGTAGTTAATCAGTGGAATTCTTTACAGCAGCAGACTGTCAAGGCTGGGATATTAAGCATATTCAAGGTTGGAATAGACAGACTTCTAATCAGTAAGGGAATTGAGAGCTATGGTGAAAAGGCAGGAAAGTGGAATTGAAGGTTATTAGATCAGCCATGAACTCACTGAGTGGCTGAGCAGACCTGATGGACTGAATAAGCTACTTCAATCTTGAAGCAATTTAGCCAAAAATCTGAGATTCAAACCATTGATATAGATTGTGAACAGATGGAGCCCAAACATTGATCATTGTGGTACCCGTTAGTCACAGCCTGACAATCTGAGAATGACCCATTTAATTTTATTCAGCTTATTGCCTGTTAACTGGTCCTAAATACAAGCTAGTATATTGCCAATCTCACATACTTTAATCTTGTTTTCTAAACTCTTTTTGTGGGACTTCATTTCAGTCTTCTGAAACTTCAAATACACCCCATTCACTGATTGCTCTTATTTTCTATGCTAATATGATCCTCAAAAATCTTTGTCACAAGATTTGTCAAACATGATTTCCCTATCATGAATCAATTTTGACTTTGTCCAAATGGAAAATTATTTTCTAAATATCTGGTAGTCACATCCTATATAACAGATTCTACATCTACCGACGTCAGGCTTTTCGGTCTGCAGTTCTTTAACTTCTCTCTCCCTCCTTTCTTAAACAGTGGGGTTACATTTGCAACTTTCCAATCTTCAGGATTGTTGCAGAATTAGTAGAATTTTGAAAGATTATCACCAATGCAACCAGTATCTCTGGCACAATCTTTTTCAACACTAGGATAGAGGTCATCGGGTCCCAGAGATTTGTCAAATTTTAGTCCATTAATTTCTCCAATACATTTTAGTCATTATTACTAATTTCTTGCAGTTCCACACTCTCATTAAACCCTTTGGTCTTCATTATTTATGGGAGAATTTTTGAGTCTTCCTCTGTGAAGATGGACGTGAGTGACATAGTCAGCTTCACTGCCATTTATTTATTTCCCATTATAAATTATCTTGTCTCTGTCTATGTTGGACTCACATTAGCTTTTGCTTATCTTTTTTTTTACACCTCTAGAAGCTTTTACAACCCATTTATGATTCTTGGTGTTTTACATTCATGTACTATTCTCTTTCTTTTATTAACTGCTTGGTTCAGCTTTTCTGAATTCAAAAATTCTCCCAATCCTCAGGCATACAAACATTTTGGCAAATTAGTTAATACCGTCTTTAACGTCACTTGTTAACCATGACTGTGTCACTTTTTCTGTTCTATATTTTTGTCTTAAAGTATTGTATATTTTTTGAAGACCAAACAAGAATTCTTTAATTGCTAGCCATTGCCTAACTATCTTGAAGCCTATTGGTTTAATTTTTCCAATCCACCATGACCAGTTTCCACCTCATACTATTATAATTTCCTTTGTTTTAATTTAAGACCCTAGTTTCAGATAGAATTTTCCTTGAAAAAACATAGTTCAATCGTACCGTGATCACTATTCCTTGAAGATTATTGTCTAACAAGTTTTTTTAATTATCTCTTTCTGTGGGGAGGTGATGTATATGTAATGTCATTGGACTAGTAATCCAGGAATGTAGACTAATGCTCTGAGGACGTGGGTTCAAATCGCACCTTGCCAGGTAGAGAAATTTTAATTCAATTTTTAAAGAAGCTAGTCTTGTGGTGACCACATAACCATTGTTAATTGGCATAAAAATAACAATGTGGTTCATTAATGTCCATTAAGAAAACAAATCTGCCATTCTTACTGGGTCTGGCCTAAAATGGGACCAACAGCAATGTGCTCTGGATAATGAGGAATGGGTATTAACACTGGCCTTGCCAACGCTTTCTACATCCCATGAATGAATATAAAAACTGCATTAAACTAGATCTTAAGCAGCTGTGTCCCGGGTGGTTCTATTGATCCAGAAAACTATTTCGAACATATTCCAGGAATTTTTCCTCCACTGCATTAGTATTCATTAGATTCACTCAGATTATATGTAGATTGAAGTCAGCCACAACTGATATAAAGGCTGTTGGAGCTGCTGGCTCAATTAGACGACAGGCCGCTCAGTGTGCTCGGTAACCATAAAGCTAGCAGTGGCCATTAATCAAACTGCAGCTGCAGGGAGTGCATGTCTCAATGATAGGGTACTCTCAAGGTAATTCGAGGTAGTTTGGGGAAGCCTGTGTTTGGCAAATAGGCCCTGGTGATCACGGGTGATGATGGTGAATTACTGAAGACGCTGTTGCTGCGAGAGTGTCTGCTTTATGGACTGTGGAGTGTCTATAAAGGAGAGACCTCCCACATTGAGCCCAGTGAAAGGCCATCAAGTTTGCTTGGGCAATCATCTCAGTAAAATTGTACTGGGAGGCAGAAGTGTGGCTTAATTGGCCACCTGGAAGGCTGAGTCTGAGCTACTAACCTTCCCACACCTGGGAATCTGGCAGGGTGGCAGGTAGATGTAGGTCCCCGTTGCGCCATCATTTTGCCAATCATCCCTCCACCCAGCCAATGGCCTGTTGACTTACCCTCTGATTTCCCCCTTACTCCTCACTTTTGTTTGTGAGCATTTATGAATAAAACAATGGCTGCACCTCAAATGTCAAAAATGTTACAGAGACATAGTTAGAAAGCAAAAATGAGCAACTGAATCATAGAAGGAGATGTTGAGGGAAAGACTGGATTATGTCAGATATTGAACAAAGGGATTGTGGTGCAGATTACCTGATAACTGGTGCCATGGAGGCAAGCAGCAAGCAACCTATGCACTGAGATAACAAGGTGTACAGCTGGATGAACACAGCAGGTCAGGCAGCATCAGAGGAGCAGGAAAGCTGACGTTTCGGGTCTGCACCCTTCTTCAGAAATGGGGGAGGGGAAGGGGGCTCTGAAATAAACAGAGAGAGGGAGGCGATGATGGAAGGTGGATAAAGAAGCAGATAGGTGGAGAGAAGACAGACAGGTCAAGGAAGCGGGGATGGAGCCAGTAAAGGTGAGTGTAAGTAGGGAGTTGGGATGGGGGTTGGTCAATTCAGGGAAGATGGACAGATCAAGGAGGCGGGGATGAGGCTGGTAGGTAGGAGGTGGGGGTGGGAGTTGGTCAGTGAGGTGGGAGGAGTGGATAGGTGGGAGAAAAGACGGACAGGTCAAGGAGGTGGGGACGAGCTGGGCTGGTTTTGGGATGAGGTCAGGGGTGGGCAGATTTTGAAGCTTGTGAAGTCCACAATGAGACCATTGGGCTGCAGGGTTCCCAGGCGGAATATGAGGTGCTGTTCCTGCAACCTTTGGGTGGCATCATTGTGGCACTGGAGGAGGCTCAGGATGGACATGTCGTCCAAGGAGTGGGAGGGGGAGGTGAAGTGGTTCGCGACTGGGGGGTGCAGTCGTTTGTCACAAACCGAGCGCAAGTGTTCCACAAAGCGGTCTCCAAGCCTCTGCTTGGTTTCCCAGATGTAGAGGAGGTCACATCGGGAACAACGGATACAATATACCACGTTAGCAGATGTGCAGGTGAACATCAGTTTGATGTGGAAGGTTTTCTTGCAGCCTGGCATGGGGGTGAGGGGGGAAGTGTAGGGACTGGTGTAGCACTTCCTGCGGTTGTAGGGAAAAGTGCCAGGGGTGGTGGGGCTAATGGGGAGTGTGGAGCGGACGAGGGAGTCATGGAGAGAGTGTTCCCTCCGGAAAGCAGATAAGAGTGGGGAGTGAAAAATGTCCTTAGTAGTGGGGTCAGATTGCAGGTGGCGGAAGTGGCAGAGAATGATGCGTTGGATCCGGAGGTTGGTGGGGTGGTACGTGAGGATGAGGGGGATTCTGTCTTTGTTGTTATTGCGGGGAGGGGGTGTGAGAGATGAGGTGTGGGAAACACAAGAGATGCGGTCAAGGGCATTTTCAAACACTGTGAAGGAGAAATTGCGGTCCTTGAAAAATGAGGACATCTGGGATGCCCAGGAGTGGAATGCCTCATCTCGGGAGCAGATGCGGCAGAGACAATGGAACTGGGAATAGGGGATGGCATTCTTGCAGGAAGGTGAGTGGGAGGAGGTGTATTCTAGGTAGCTGTAGGAGTCGGTAGGCTTGAAATAGATATCGGTTTCTAGGTGGTTGCCAGAGATGGAAACAGAGAGGTCCAGGAAGGAGAGAGAGGTATCGGAGATGGTCCAGGTGAACTTAAGGTTGGGGAAGAAGGTGTTAGTAACGTGGATGAACTGTTTGAGCTCCTCATGGGAGCACGAGGTGGCGCCGATACAGTCATTGATGTAACGGAGGAAGAGGTGGGGTTTAGGGCCAGTGTTGCTGCGGAAGAGGGACTGTTCCACATATCCTACAAAGAGGCAGGCATAGCTTGGGCCCACGCGAGTTCCCATGGCCACCCCCTTTGTCTGTAGGAAGTGGGAGGAGTTGAAGGAGAAGTTGTTAAGGGTGAGGACGAGTTCAGCTAAGCGGATAAGGGTGTCAGTGGAGGGGGACTGGTCGGGCCTGCGGGACAGGAAGAAGCAGAGGACCTTTAGGCCATCTGCATGGGGAATGCACGTATATAGGGACTGGATGTCCATGGTGAAGCTGAGGTGTTGAGGGCCAGGGAATCGGAAGTTTTGGAGGAGGTGGAGGGCGTGGGTGGTGTCACGGACGTAGGTAGGGAGTTCCTGGACCGGGGAGAGAAAATGAAGACGCGATAAGTGGACATAAGTTCGGTGGGGCAGGAGCAGGCAGAGACAATGGGTCGACCAGGGCAGTCAGGTTTGTGGATTTTGGGAAGGAGATAGAAACGGGCAGTGCAGGGTTGGGGAACGATGAGGTTGGAGGTTGTGGGTGGGAGGTCACCTGAGGTGATGAGGTTGTGGATGGTCTGGGAGATGATGTTTTGGTGGTCAGGGGTGGGGTCATGATCAAGGGGGTGGTAGGAGGAGGTGTCAGAGAGCTGGCGCCTGGCCTCGGTGATGTAGAGTTTCTTGCGCCATACTGTTTGCTTATCTGCATGATTTGGTTTTTTTTTGATATTCATTCATGGAATGAGGGCATCACTGGCTATGTCAGCATTTATTGCCCATCCAGAGGGAAGTTAAGAGTCAACCACATTGCTGTGAGTCTGAAGTCACAGACCAGGTAAGGATGGCAGTTTCCTTCCCTAAAGGACTTCAGTGAGCAAGATGAATTTTTCCTGTGAATTGACAATGGATTCATGGTCATCACTAGACTCTAAATTCCAGGTATTCTAAAATTGCATTCAAATTCCACCATGGAGGGATTCGAACCATCATTATACCACATGTCCCTCCACTCTGCAGAGCATTAATAGGCTTGGAAGAGATGGGAGGTGGGTGCTTCTACCCTGAGCTGGACAAGTCGCCCTGCATCAGAATGCTGCTGTCCAATCTAGTCCCTGCAGCATCTCTGGGAGCAATGACCACTGCTGGGAATACATTAAGTCTCCTTGAGTTAATGCCTCATGAAAAAGGTGAGGTAGTTGGGCATTTCAGCAGTATACAAAATCCATGTATGGGTAGAGGTGGGTGAGATAGAGGTGAAAGTAGGTGGCCTTTTTTGCACCAGCCAGCTGCTTCTTTCCTTATACTTCGTCTGATTGATGGAGGGGATTTTGGATCAGAAGCGAGGGAAGCAATCTATCTGAGCTGGCCTGAGACAACAACTGGAGATGGGAATGGAGCTCAAAGCAAAAATGCATAGTTTCTATTTAGCATCAATAAATAATATCTTTAGAGGGAATGACAGTTCATCTAAGATTGATGTGTCTGGCAAAGGCAGAAATCCTATTCAAACTCAAAGTTGAGAGGAAGTTGGACTTGAATTTGGAAGACAGAAACTGATTCAAGTACTTTAGAGAGGAAAGCAAGGTTAGAGTTGAGCCAGCAATTTTTCCAAACCAAGGTATAGAGGGTGATTCTTTTGGGAAGGGAGTGATGATGACCTGTGTGAAATACAATTAATGTAAGGACATAGGATAAGGAGATGCAGCTGCAGATAATTACAGTGAAGTGGTTAGACATAAGTTTGTCTGTGATAATAACGGTGACAGTTGAGAACAGGGGAATCGACAAATGTTTGGATGTTGTGGCTGCCAATATAGGTAAGAGAAAATATATGGAGGGAGAAGTTAGGGTGGAAGGGTGGACATTAGTGAAGGGATTCAGAAGAGACCGGGCGAGAGTAGAAGTCAAGGTAAATCGGGTTTTAAAGCCAAGGATTAGAAGATCAAGTAAATTGATCCATTGCTATTTTCTAATTGGCACAAAGAGGGTCTATTACTTTTGATATGTGCCTACTGGCAAGCGGTCATTCATTTCTCAAACTCTTCCTCATCAGCCAGGCACGCAAAAGCAACCCCTATATTATATTCGAATTAAAGCTGCATTCATCCCAGATGCATGTTGTGGGTTCAGGCACAGATAGAGCAGGGCCAAGGATTTTTAGAGGCCCTGTAAACTTAATTTATAAAACATCATGAAAGCAATGAACAGAACATAACTGAGTACTATTGATGTAACGAACAGATGGTAAATTGTTACGTGAAGTGGTTTCCCATCACGTGATTGTATAATTCTCCAAAAAGAGTTAAGACATTATCTAACTTTTTTTTTTAGAGTATCAGGTGGATTATTTCTGGTCCATCTAAATGGCTCTGTTCTCAATTCTGCCATACTTGAAAATTTGAATTTCAGTTGTGGAAATATCATAATAAAAATTTGAAATTTTGAATATATTTCTCAGGCCTCAGCAATCTGCACTGGGAGGAATCTTACAAGAGTGCCAAAAGATCTTCCCACCAATTTAACGCATTTGGATTTATCAGGCAACTCAGTGGATGCAACGGATCTAGGAAACAATAGGGGACTGTGGGCGCTCAGAGATCTGGTTGTCCTCAACCTTTCAAATAATAACATGCCGACTCTCCCCCCTGAGATCTTTATGAACCTGAAGAAGCTGAAGGTATTGGATCTGAGTCACTGCAAGATTGATTTGCTTCACCCCAAGGCTTTCAAAGGTCTTTTAAGTTTAAAGATCCTGATGCTGAACAACAACAGAATAAAGAATTTGGCAACTCAGTTCCTCAGTGACGCACAGGAATTGTCAACATTGAACTTGGCCAATAACAAGTTGACCACAGTCACCATCCAGTTGTTGGAGAAATTTGAAAGAATACATGAGGTTCAACTGCAAAGAAATTCTTGGGTTTGTGACTGCAATCTGTACCCACTACAGAAATGGCTGATGCTACGATTTGGTAAGTAATTAATTGATTGTCAAATTAAACTTGGTTTCAGAGAAAGGCTGAAGGATCTGCGAGAACACTGGACTGTCTGTCTGATCCTCGTCATTAAGGGTATCCCCAGCATAGGATAAAGAAGCTAATTTTAGCCTAACATATCCGTTGGAAATTTAATAGGCACAATCAATCAGTTATCCCTTTTACAGTCCCCTTCAATAAAGAAATATCAGACAGCCTGTAACACATACGGCCTGTCCATCTATATGGGTTCATTGTGTGGTGCTTTTGGTTACAAATATTCACTGAACATTGTAAACCATTGTACAAAACATACTTTCAATTTTGATGCAGTTCTATCATGCATGACTGTCTATCAGAATGAGTTTGGGGTGATATCTCTTTAATGTTCTGAAAAAAAGGTGATTGGAGGAACTTCTCAATATTGTATTCCCTGAGCAAACTGTGCCTGAGAGACTTGAGAGACAAGCAAATGTGATTAGTGACTTGACCACGTGCTAGAATATCAGAGCAACAGACTCCAAAATATTCTGTACATTATTATTTGCCTTCAAGAGTAACTCATCGGCCAAAGTGTTTTTTTATTTATTCAGAAAGGCACTCTCTAGAGGAGTCCTGTATTATTTTGTTTTCTTCAAGAGTGCGTGTGTGTTTGGAGACATTTCGTGGGATAAGCATTTATAATTGGGTCTTACTGACTGTGTTAAACTCATTGAATAAGTTCTATTTTGATGATAAGGCAACAATTTTATTCATTTAAGAAAGCTGGTTGATAGTTCCTTTTATTTAAAACCTGATACAGGTGAATTATTTAATTGGTCTTTTAGATTTTAGGTTTTAGATAGCTATAAAACTATTGTAACCAATGATTTTAATTGACCATTTTGTTGTGACCCTTGGAGTAGTGGTACAAAACCAATAGTGCGCACCCCTCCAGCCTCAGTGATAACAGTTGACTCATCAATACTGATGTAAGGCCAATTAGGGATCAGCAACAAATGTTGACCATTCTAGTCATACCCTGCTAACTTACTTATGTGGTTCAAGAACAATATACTGTGGCTGCTGAAAATCTAAAATAATAACAGAAAATGTTTGAAACGTTCAGCAGGTCAGTCCATATCTCTGGAGAAAGAAAGACGAATCATCTTGGCAATTCATCAGAATGTTTTATTGGTTATCTGAACAAAATTACCTTGTTTAAGGCAAATTGCCTTCTGCAAATTGCCATGTTTCTTACATCACAGCAGTGGCTGAACTTGAGAAACTACTTCAATTAGGCACGAAAATCTTCGAAATGTAGTTATTTACATCCTGTGCTTGTAAAAATTCTTACCTTTGTTATGCACAACTGCGAATTGTAACTTTGTCTACATCACAACAGAACTGTCAATCTCATTTTTGTTTAATACCACCTGTTAACATCACCAGATCAATTTTATTTGAGAAACACCCAATAGCTTCTGTTCAAATACCTTCTTCACTCAACAATATAACAACATAGGGTGGACAACATTTCTGCTGTGTATTAAGGAATAATATGACTGTAAATATATTTATGATTTTACCAAATGAAATTAGCATTTATTAGTACAATTCATGCCCTTGAGACATGACAGCCGTTGAAATACTTCTAAAAAATGTTATGATATAGGCAAATGTAGTCATCAGTTCATGCATGCAGGGCCCCACAAATATCATAAATGGCTGGATATCTGGTTTTGATGGTATTGGCTGAGGGATAAATATTGATCCAGTCATGAAAACAACTCTTCCTGTTCTTCTGCGCGTCATGGAATCTTGTACGTGATCTACATAAGAGGGAAGGCAGGATATTGAATCCAAAAGATGGTACCTGAGAGAGTACAGCAGCCTTTAATACTGCATTGAAATATCAACCTGGATTTTCTGCTCAAATCTATGTAGTGGGACCGAACTCTAACGAATTTCTAATTCAAACTACTATCACTGAGCCCACTCTCCCAATTCTAAGAAGCAATTTGTTAAGACGAGGCAGCATAAATTATATCCATCTCATGGCTTTATATTTCACAGAATGCACCTGCCAATTTATCAACTGCATCAAGAGACACAATTTGTGTCGAGAAGTGAAATGACCACAACTTGAAGGTTCTTTTGTTATGACCCTCAATGTGTAGAGTAAATAATATTGTGAAAGTTTTTCCATCTTTCTGTTAGACCATGCAGAGGAGATACAGTGTGTGTTCCCGCCAGAACTCCAGGGCAAGGATTTGCTGAATCTAGACCTCTCATCTGAGTCCTGCTCAGAAAAGTCTAAAAGATTTCCTCGTCTTGCATATTTAAATACGTCAACTTCCACGGTCACAGCTATCACCAATCAGAGTAAGTCATACACAGAAACCCTTGTAAATTAACTTTATATTTCTCAAGAATATTTGTATGATATAGTTTAGTTGTGTTCAGACTATCTGACTTTAACATGAGAAAGGTCAACCACAGAGGACAGAAATGTCTGCGTCAATGTTTTTTAAACCTACCAAGTGCAATATATCTTCATCTTCAACTTTATTTCATGTAGTAGTAATATTCACTGTACCTCAATATGCTTTGACCCAAAGCATTCCATATTCTATCTCCAGAGACTTTTTCTAACATCCACTTTAATATTTAAATCTTTCAATTTTTAAGAATGGTCCTGCCATAACAAAATGGGTTTAAAAGGTTTTAGATATAAAACTATTCTAACCAATGACTTTTTTTTTAAGAACATAGAACATTGAACAGTACAGCATATTACAGGCCCTTTGGCCCACAACGTTGTGCCGACCTATTATCCTACTAAGATCAAACTACCCTGCATACCCTACATTTTACTATCATCCATGTGCCTATCCAAGAGTTGCTTAGATGTCCCTAATGTATCTGACTCCTCTACCACCACTGGCAGTGCATTCCACACGCCCACCACTCTCTGTGTAAAGAACCTACCTCTGACATCTTCCCTAAACCTTCCTCCAATCACCTTAAAATTATGCCCCCTCGTAATAGTCATTTCCGCCCTGGGAAAAAGTCTCTTGCTATCCACGATCTATGCCTCTCATCATCTTGTACCCCTCTATCAAGTCACTTCTCATCCTTCTTCGTTCCAATGAGAAAAGCCCCAGTTCCCTCAACCTTTCCTCATAAGATCTGTCCTCTAGTCCAGGCAGCATCCTGGTAAATCTCCTCTGCACCCTCTGTAAAGCTTCCACATCCTTCCTATAATGAGGTGACCAGAACTGAACACAATATTCCAAATGTGATCTAACCAGGGTTTTATAGAGCTGCAGCATTACCTCGCAGTTCATAAACTCAATTCCCAGCCAACAAAAGCCTATACGCCTTCTTAACAACCCTACCAACTTGGGTAGCAACTTTGAGGTATCTATGGACATGGACCCCAAGATCCCTCTGTTCCTCCACACTGCCAGGAATCTTGCCATTAACCCTGTATTCCACATTCAAATTTGACCTTCCAAAATTAATCACCTCACACTTTTCTGGATTGAATTCCATCTGCCACTTCTTTGCCCAGCTCTGTTGACACTTCCTATTTATTTCCCTTCACACTTCAATGAATAGCCACCCTTTCCTGAATTGTTTTTCAATGTTTTGAGTTCTTTGTTGAAGGTTACTTTGTTTACTGTCTCTTATCAGCCTGAACTGGTTCTCCATGTTTTAAATATGCATATATATTTGGATAACAAAGCCTCACATTTTGTGAAGTTGTTACACAGTTTGTTACATAATGCTTTCAGGAGAGTACAATGACACATTGTAATTGTCTGAACAGTTAACTGTAATGTTGAAGCTGTAGGGGCATAACTTACACTCAGCTGAGATTGGTAGATTTTGGGGATGGTACAAGGTGATTTTTTTCCAAAAAGAAATAGGCTTTGTTCATAATATTTATAAAAGTATAAAAGATTTTGATGACTGTCACAGCATGTTCAACCCAATACAATTGTAATAGTCTTCTTATTTACAAAGTGCATAAAATACATTCCATTTCATGTATACAGCCAAAGGGCAAAACATTTTAAATTGGAAATTGCAGTAAGTGCAATAGATATTACACTTTCTTTATATATACCTTTTTGCACACTGAGGGCACTTCAATACATTTCTAATATCCTGCATCTTACTCATCTGGGCATTCTTTCTATCATGTAAAGGGGAATATTCAAAAGCTTGAAAGGCATTCCCAGATAACTTATTCTTCATATACTGTGGCTTGGCTGTTTAGGGATTTTGGAATACAATATAGGTCGATGCAATGACTCCAGACTGTCATTTCTAGAGCTCCAGATATACAAACTCACGCAGGTCTCAGCAACGTTATTCTCTCTCATGTTTGGTATATTATGCCACAAGAGGGAGTACAGTGTCGTGCGTCTATTTCACCACTAGGGGAAATGCATCTTTCTGCAGCTATAAGCAACAGCTAGTGTCATCTTCAATGGAACTAAACCAAATCTATAATAAGCAAGTGATCATTACACCAGTTTGCATTCAAGGGCTGAATGTAAAAATAAGCCCCAGGTGCTTAAGGTTTTTAAACAGGTTCTGGCCTGTTAATTTCAAATAATATGAGATATATTGAGTAATCAGTATGACTGCAGTGGAAAGAGCTTGCAAACTTGTGGTGTGTCAATTTTATCTGATGAAATCTTGCAATCACTAACATCTTTGATACCTTCAGCAATCTTTCGATTGGCACTTCACATTTACAACTAAACCCATAGTTTCAGAAGTGAGAGAGGAAATGAAAGACCACTCACTAAGCTTTTTTAAATCACTGAATCATTTCCACCCTTGTAACATCTACCAAAGCAAAGAGGTATCTGTGCAAATCATAGACAAAACATGAGCTCGAAAGTTGTTTCCAGTTTTGGATGCACAATTGTAGGAAAGTTGTGAAGCCAATCAACACAATACTGAAGATACCGGAGAGCATAAAGGAGACAAATTGCAACTATTTTTGTAAAAGGAAAAACGCATGATAAAGAGACATTCAAAATTGTGAAGGGTGGAAAGGTAAATGGAGAAAACTCATGCCCGCAGGTTATCAATTTGATAAACCGTGACCTTTGTCATTAATTCCCGTAGACAGTAGTAAATTTTTAAAATAAATTTGAACTGCCAGTTAATGATTGAAAGGATGGCACAGCAAGATTTGATGTTTTAAGACTTTTGCTGTAACAAATAGAATAAACTTACTTTTGACCAAACATTATATTGTAGGCAACTTTGACTTTTCTACTTTAGCGCAATCAAAAAGCCAATTTCACAACGATACTTTCTCTGTCCTTTTAAGTACAGATTTATTTCTCTTGGAACCAATCCAAAGTGATTTGTCACCCTAAAGGATATGTGGCCATTTTTTGTTCTTTCTTAGCCTGATGATCATTAACACTGGAACTTCATGGTACAGGTTTTCCTAGCAATACGCCTTCCAGTACAAACTAGTTGAATCTTCCAGTCTTGTTTCAAATCCTTGTGATTTTAATCTTTTCACTCCAAGCATGAGCACTCACTTGCATTTTGTGTGTTGAACCATATTGACCTTTGGTATCTACTGCTCCCTGTCTCCCAGACTTTGGCAGACTGTGTCTATGTCTGTGAATTTTCAGGGATATCAGAGTAAACCATCTCCTCTTGAAGCTCACCTCCATGGAAACATTAAACACATCAGCCTTGCATTTAGGTAGAAATTCTGAATCTCCATTTTTGAGAAGCCCAATGCTATTCTGTCTTGGAAGTAGTGGATAGTTAAAATTTTAGCCATTTACAACCTGGCATTCTCATCACCTCTAGGTATTTTTTGGTCACTGTAAATAGAGATCCTGTTGCCACTGTGATAACAAGGTGTAGAGCTGGATGAACACAGCAGGCCAAGCAGCATCATAGGAGCAGGAAGGCTGACGTTTCGGGCCTAGACCCTTCA